CATGTGGTGCTGGGGGATTGAACCGCGGTCCCTGTGCTTTGCTGAGCTTGTTTTAAGTAGGTGCTTTAGACCACTGAGCCATCTCACCAGCCCCATGCCTTCAGTCTTGATCACTTCCTCTGTGGCCCTACCAGAAGCCCCATGTTCATCCTGTACATTCCTTGCCCAAACTCTGGATCCAGTCATTCTACCAAGAAGCCCTGATTACCAGGATCTTGTGACTCTGAGAGAACCCTACATAGGGTTTTTGGCAGTGGGGTCACCTGGGCTTCAAACTATCCTAGCCACCCAGCATGGGTCCCAAGACACAGACGTCACCTGCCCTCACTGCTTGGAAGATGTGGTGCTTTGTCCCTGTCCTCCTGTCTTGCATTAACGCTGGTCTCAGGGCACAAGACCTCTGAGCCCACTGGTGCAGGGGTGCACTCTACCGCCTATCAAGGTGAGCTCTGACACAGCTGTCATCTGACGGTCACACTGATTGGAACAAAACAGAATGAAGCTGCCACGCAGTGCGACTAATGTCTATCAATCCTTTTTCCTGTTCATTCTTCAAATAAACCCACAGACTGAAAAGAAGGGTCCTTCACGGGCCAAGTTCAATCTAAGTAGAAACCACATCATTGTCTTAAGTGTCTCCATGCTCGCCCCGCACAAACCCCCTCCACAGTTGCCCTCCTCCTGGTCCCTCAGGTACGACTGGTCTCTCCCCTGGGACCTGTCTCCCTGCCTCCCGAGCATCACACCAATGCCAATGCATTCTTCACATCCCCAGGCAATGCTGGGTCTCCTGCCCCACCTTGGGTCATACTCAGGAAACATGTTCTAGGTTGGGGGCTCCAAGTGGAGCTGCTCCACACCTGCCCCAAGCTGATGCAGTGGCCCCAGACCCTTGCTGAAACAAGATGGTGGAAGTGAGCTCAATCTTCACACTCCCTGCTCTTTCCTAGGTGGTCAAACAAGTGCTGGCTCGGACCAGCAGCGGGGGATTCTGTGGGAATGACGGCTTCATGCACTTGACCCTGGCCAGCCTGCCCTTTGGAGGAGTGGGTAGGTGCTGCTCTCCTGTGCCCTTCCGAGATGGCACCAAGCGTTCCCTGAGGACATTCCAGCTGCAAAGTGCAGGGGGGCCTACACGGAGGAACCATGTCCTGTTTCCCCCCAGCCCCCCTTTCCCCTCCTGGTGTGGTATGAAGCCCTCCAGACCTATCTGCACTTACCCATGTAGCTGGGTGGAAATTTTATTTTTCCTTAAAAACACAAGTGGGCTACCCTGTCCATGGCCGCTGCTCACCTTTCTTCCAACAGCATACCCTGATATCTGTCCCTCTGTCCACACACACAGCTGCCGGGTGCTCTATACTCCATGCTGCTTCACCCACGGTCCACTACAGGGCACAAAGGCCCAGAGTGTGGAGATGGCCCCCTCCCAACATACTGCAAAGCTTCTGACACCTCTGAGTCAGAAACCCCATAACTGGTCCCAGAAAGCCCCTGACCCTGTGACCTAGGACAGCCACTTCCCCTCCCTGAGGCTACTTCCTCGGTGAAGGGGCAGAAGTGGAATGAGTGACTCCAGGTCTTCCTCTCTGTCCATGCCTGGTCAGCTGTGCCTGGTGGGGGCTGGACTCTCCCTGGCGGGTGGGCTGAGCTAACACTGTTGACAGTGGCAGGCCTGGCAGGGGTCGTGCTACCTCCCTGGCTCTGGACCTCCCTCCTGCCTCTGCATGCCTCAGCTCCCCCCTGGGTCTCTGTGGGACTCTGCCTACCTGCCCCTTTCCAGTTCTAGCCCCTCATCCCACCTCCTCTGCCCCAGAGAAGAGTGGGGGTTTGTCTGCACACAAATTTGGAAGCCCTGATTGCCCAACTTCACACAGGCTGTGTCCTCTGGACAACCTTGGCTGGGTCCTTAGCTGCCTTCCTTTGACACTGAGAACTCGTAACAACACAGCACTCACTGTGCCCATGGTCAGAACACTTAGCTGCTGTCACACAAGGGGAGAATGAGGCAGTGTCTGTTCATGGCAGGGCAAACACCCACCCTGCCCAGTCTGGCTCCAGAAGACAAACTACTGGTGTTCCCAGGACTTGCTGAGCTGGTGCAAAAGCCTGCCTTGGGGCTTGGCCCTAACACAATGCTTCATACTTAGCTCACTGTATAGATGGGGAAGCTGTGGCTCACAGGGTCTACGCAGCCCTCCTGTCAAAGCCCAGGTCTGCCTGATAACCCCTTGGCTGGCCACCGAGGGCCTGACTATGTGTGTTTTCTGTTACTGCACAGGTACCAGTGGGATGGGCAGTTACCATGGCAAATTCTCCTTTGACACCTTCTCGCACCACCGCGCCTGCCTGCTGCGCAGCCCTGGGATGGAGAAGATCAATGACTTTCGCTACCCACCCTACTCACCAAGAAACCTGAGGGTGCTTCTGATGGCCATGGAGGAACGCAGCTGCAGCTGCACGCTGCTTTAAGTCTGTGGGCATTAAGTGCTCCCCCGACCCCAGCTGCTGCAGATGCAGCCTGTGTCCAGGGCACAAGGACACAGAGCAGCCTGCTCAGCCCAGAGCAATGCCTGCCTTCCTTCCCCTCGGGGTCCCCTCTTTGGACTTTCAGCCACCCCCCAACTATGCTGAGTGGGAACATGGGACAGGTGTGCAGAGACAGTGACCTGTTCCCTTCCCACCTCCAGACACCCATGTCCTAGGAGAAGAGAAGCAACAGAGGAGTCCTGGCATCTGTCACACCTTGGAATCTGTGTGACTGTGCCATCTCTGTCTCTTCTAAGCCTCAGTTTCCCCAGCTGTACACCTGAGGTGATGAACAACTTATACTTCCTGAGACTGTATGATGATTAAATCAGGGAGGTGCAGACACGGAGTTCCAGGTGTCCTCTCTTCACCCTGGAGTGTAGCGCGGCTTCCTCCCTCTTCTTTCCCACCAGGTCGGGCCCTCGGCACACCTCACTCAGCAGGTCCCACCTGGGACTGCTCTTCCACCTCATTCCACCTATCCTGGGGCTCTCATGGTCTCAGGCACCAAAGTCAAGATCCCGGGCTCCTTGCTTGACAGCCAAATTCTATCTTGGAGCAAATGTCGCTGATTCTGTAGTGCTTAGAAATGCTTCAATCTAAACTCGAATCACGATGCCACACCAGGCTTGGCACACACCACTCCCTGGTGCACGCCGATCTTCCTAACGCAAGCTGAACCATCCTACTCCCCTGCCTGAGACCTCTCAGTGGCTCTCTGTGACCCATAGTTCCCGCAGCCACAACAGTCCTTTGGAGGCTTTCTCTCTAGGGCCACGCATCAGCCCTGCACTCACCTTGTTCTTTTCGAGAGGACCTCTACGCACGCCACATGTCCTCCCTATTTATCCTTCCAGGCCTGTTCAAGTCCTACTTACCGTCACCTAAGCTACTGCCTTCTCCAGGAAGTCTTTCCTGACCGTCACCCAGACACACGCAGACTGACCCAGAGCAGTCTCAAGAGCCCGCAGCTTGTAGGTTCCTCTACCACAAACGCGCAGGGAAATAGGTGGGTGGAGAGACCGGCCTCCCGAGCCTTATGGATTCAGACCAGTGGGGTCGCACAGCACGACCCCTCGGCTCGACACGTCCCTGTCTCGTTTCATCTGTAAAGGGATAACGATGATTCTCCTACGTGGGGCTAGGTGGAGTCACACGGGCTGTGTTTGCGCGGAGAGCTGCTATAGTTAACCCTCTTTAGGGGCCCGAGATGCTGATCCCACAGAACTGGATCAGCATCCTTTAGGGTCCGGAGCCACTTTCTAAACCACGCCCCGGAAGTCACCCCCCTGAGATTCCCAGGTCCTCGCTAATTGGCCTCTCTGAACCAATATGGCGACATCCTTCAAAGCTTCAAGCGCGTGCTCTGTCTCAGCCAATCAGCGGAAAGACATATCTAGATTCCGCCTTCTCCAATCGCCCACCGACCAATCAGGTCACACCATAAAGGATCACCCCGGAAAAGACGAAGCCAGCCAACCGAATAGTAGTGCCTCAGGGTTAGGCTCCGCCTCTCAGCCGTCCGGCCCGCTCGGCTAGGGAAGGAGCAAGAGCTCCTCAAGGTGGGTGTTCAGGATTTGGTCGTGAAGGGTAGATGTGTGCAGCGCGGCGTGGAGGGCAAATGTGGTGTCCTTGTTAATCCTGCAAACTCTTGTGCTCAGGCTTCCTCTCTGCGGGCTTACGACCCGCTGCCTCTGCGTCCTTCAGCGTGTAGCGGGCGCCCCTTCCGGACGCATGCGCAGGCCGACCGGCCGGACGCCCCTTGCGTGCTTGCGGTCAGAGGTCATGGGGGAGGGCGGAGAAGGTGATGGCAGTGGTTTGCTTGCTGGGGACTAGAGTTACTGGCCAAGAGTGGGGCCAACTAGAGGTTACAGGAGGAGCCCTTTCGGGCTCTGGTGAAGTGCATGTTCTGAGCTAGGCCCTTGCCCTTGGGATGGAGGAGCCCCACAAGTCTCAATGACAGTTCCCATCTTGCTAATAAGCCTGAGGCCAGGTGACCTCACCTGCCCAAGGTCACTCAGCAGGCTGCTAGACAGTTCTGGGAGAGCTTTGCAGTGAGGCGAGGAATTTGACTGTAAGCATTATTTAAATCTGTGGGTTCCACGAGGGCACGCACTCCTGTTGTGTGACTTTGGCCAGTCACATATCAAGACAAGATGACAGTGTGTGTGATCCACCCTCAGACACAGCCTAGCTCTTGGTATACACCAGTGGTGGTTGGTTGTATTTTTTAGGTGAGAATGTGGTGGATGAACAAGGCGGGGGGCGGGGGGGGGGAAGGATATCAGAGGCAGGAGCTCTGGAGAGAAGCACTAGGTTTAATAAACTTTTTGGAAAGTGAGAGAGAAAAAACTTGAGGTTCACAGGAATCCCCAGAATCTTAGACCAGATGAGCTGGGCTGATTGGGAGGGTTGGGAAGTGCTATGCCTAGGGACTGGAAGACCCAGAAGCAGGCTTTGAGTCTCACTGGAGATGACACAGAGGACCTTGGGTGAAGCTCATAGTTCCCATAGTGCCAGAGTTCCTGGGATACGCAGTCCTTGATCCCTTGCTTTCCTTCTTGTGTCCTCAGATGCAATGCCTGACCACACCCACACTGCTGCGTGCCCTGGCCCAAGCTTTGCGCACAGGTAGGACCAAGGGAGCCTATCCTGGAGTGGGGGAAATCCCAGTTTTGTGGCATGAGATCTCATGCAGAGGTGTCACCCCTCTCCTTGCAGGACATGCTGCTGGCCGGAGCCTCCACAGCAGTACCATGGTAGCAACCTACAGTGAGTACCAGGGTAGCCTCCAGCCGAGACTTTCCTGAGTGTGGTCTTGCTGGAGGCCAGGGAAGAGACTTGGGTCCCAGTTCTGACTTTGCCAGGGACACCTCTCTGAGCCTCAGTTTTCTGCTCTCTACGTGAGGGTGGTGATGGAGACTGAATGTGATTCTTGGGGCAGAAGCTTCCGTGCAGCAGGTGAGAAGGTGTGGTTTCAGCACATCTCTAAGCGAGATAGGGAGGGAACCTGTGCCTCTTCACCAGAACCCCTGGTGAAGGTAAGGGACAAGCCTGTTACCCTTTGACTCAACCCTTGTTTGAGGGTCCTCAGCTGAGAGAGCTGCCAGGGGCTGGCCTTGTGGTGCAACAGTAGTGCATCTGGCTCCAGAGAGCTGCCAGGGATAGGGAGAAGCAAGCAAGGCCTGCTTAGGGCCAGAGGCCACCTCCTAGGACTCTGGCTGATGCTAAGGGAATGAACCTAGTGACTGCACCTAGGTGTGAGGGCCAGGCCTCATCTCCTGAGCTGGATTCCTTAATCTCCTCCCTGCAGAGTATGTGAATTTGCAGGAACCAGAGATGGACATGAGGTCAGTGACTGACCGGGCGGCTCGGACCTTGTTGTGGACTGAGCTCATCCGAGGTAGGTCCTGGTAGAGGTGTCCAGGCTTGGAGCAGGGCCCAGAGAGCAGAGTACCCACCATGACTGTGCTACTCACAGGCCTGGGCATGACTCTGAGCTACATGTTCCGGGAGCCAGCTACAATCAACTACCCATTTGAGAAGGGCCCACTAAGCGCACGCTTTCTAGGGGAGCACGCTCTGCGCCGTTACCCATCTGGGGAGGAGCGCTGCATCGCCTGCAAGCTTTGTGAGGCTATCTGCCCTGCTCAGGTGAGCCCCAGCCTATCTGACTACCACCCTGCCCCTGGCCCTGTGCAAGGGAACCCAGGTAGCTCTAGGCTACAGCTTGACCCCTCTGAAGCATTTCCCTAGGAAATTCCCTTTCCTGCCTTGAGTCTCCCCCAACCCCATGAGTGGAACCAGTGAGGCCTTGTTGGCCAAGTGTTGTGAGTCAGCGGTCAGCAGAGGCCAGTGTGTGCCTGAACAGGCCAGGTAACAGCTGTAGGGCTTGCCCTGGGGATCAGCCAAGGGTGTGAAGCTTGGGTCCAAAAGCCATGGGGTGGCCCCCAAGGTGTCCTATTCCCTGGATATGGCAGCAGTTACAGGACCCCATCCTAGACTGGAGCTGAGGACTCACAGCTGAACTCGACCCATGCTCTGCCCTGCCCGTTTCTGATGGCCGGTCCTTGAAACCCTGCCAGGACAGCTGGCAGTGTGGCAGTGACTGGTTATGTAGGTGGATCTTGCACAGACCACCTGTGTCAGGCCCCTGGTGTAGTAATGAGGCTCTGGCTTGCCCAGCAGCAGCAGCTCTGGCAGACAGCCCTTCCTTACTGATGGTCTGCGCAGCGACCCTGTTCCCATTTTCAAGGCCGAGGGCAATCCTAGCTCTCCCAGGTCCTCCAGGCCGCAGGTGGTGGCCTTGATAGTTCTGCTGCAGCCATTATCAAGGAAGATATAGGAACACTTGGACAGCAGCAATGATAGTCAAGGTTTCCAAGTAGTGAGGGGCCGACCAGGCCTTGCTCCAAGCTTATTCCTTATCACATTTAATCTTGATAACACCAGCAGGTAGAGATCATGTCTCCATTTTTGTCTGCACATAAACATGAGGCTCTAAGCAAAGGTCCCACAATGAGTAGTGAGTGTGATACTTCTGAGGGGGGTGAGAGTTAAATGTCCTGGAAGATCCTCCAAGCTGTGGGAGACAGCAGGCTACTTCTTCTTTCCCTCAGCTGCCACAAGGCTGACCCTGGCAACTGAGGGTTAAGGCTGTCTTCCAAGTCTGGGCTCTGTGCCTACCTGTGTGGCTTCAGGAAGCCCTTTAGCCTGTCTGAGCCTCAGTTTTCTCATCTACCAAATGGGTATAACTAGACCTGAGTTGGAATCTTGTTAAGCTTAGGCCGTCACTGACTACTTTCTTTTTTTTTTTTTTAATTTTATTTATTTGTGTGTGTGTGTGTGGCCAGCTCAGCCCACCAGGGGGCGGGGCGCTGGCATGTGGTGCTGGGGGATTGAACCGCGGTCCCTTTGTTTTTGCTAAGCTTGTTCTAAGTAGGTGCTTTAGACCACTGAGCCATCTCACCAGCCCCTGACTACTTTCTATAGATGAGGGACCCTACCCCCTCAGGGCTATGGGTATGCAGTGAGCAAAGCAGGTAACAGCCTTCTCCTGTGGGAATGATGTTCTAGGGCAGGAAGTAGAACAGTTAACATGGGAACAAAAAGAGTGTCAGCTTCAGCAAGTGACAGAAGGTGAGATGGCAGGTGTGAGAGTGGCTCCCAGAGGATCTGGGCTGCGTCTGAAGAGCTGGAGCATCTCTTGGAGACAGCCAGGGATAGGGATGAACTGTGAGAGGTTGATCCAGTACAAGGACATAGCTGGCAGTGTGGCAGTGACTGGCGGCCACCCTTCCTCCACCCAGGCCATCACCATTGAGGCCGAGCCCAGGGCTGATGGCAGCCGCCGGACCACCCGCTATGACATTGACATGACTAAGTG